TTGTATCCTCCTTTTTAGAATAATTAAAAAGAAAATAAAGGACAAGAATTGGGACTGGAATTTATGTCACGAAATGACACAGTTGAAGTGTGACATCATGTGACCACGCTACTCAGTGACGATAGTTCCAACATTTCTGGTTGCCATTATTAAGTGAATCCCATGTTATGTATGACATCACGTCACCATTTTTGACCTGCTGACTTCCCTGTTGACCTTGCTTATTGGAAGCCAGCAATGAAGGTCATAAATGGAGAGATCGTGAGATTGTGGAATACTGCAAAGTTGTAATTGCAAGCTGGTCATTGGCCCCTTGGTTGTGATCATGTGACCACTGGGACACTGTGATAGCCAGAATTTTGAGGACTGATCATAAATACCACTTGTTCAGTGCCATTGTAAGTTTCACTGGTTGCTGCATGAGTAGTCATTAAGTGAGGGACACTTGAATTCCTTTATCATAATTGAACCATATCCCCATAGATTTAGGCCATTATTGGCTTTACAACTTTGCAAGGATGAAAATCTATTTAGACTGCCTAATTTTAAAATGGGGGGTCTTCAAAACTTGACAGGTTTAAGACTTGTAGACATCAACTCCCAGAATTCCTCCTCCAGTCATGTTAGCTCAGGAATTCTGGGAATTGAAGTCCACAAGTCTTAAACTTGCCAAGTTTGAAGACCCTTGTTTTAAAAGCTAATGGATTTCAGCTTAGATAGATGGAATTGTTATCTGTAGCCCAGAGCTATGTTTGTGTGGTTTTCAGCATTTTCTAAAATTTGATTCTATTTTTTCCCATTGTAATTAAGTTTCAAAATCTGGGATTTTAGCGTTGAGGTTGTGAGTTTTTATTTTGTCTTTTCTGCTTTTTTCTTGAATTCTGTACGGGTGTGTCATGATCTGCTCATAAAATTCTGGTAGTAAAGCAAATACCGGTAGTATAAATGTTATCTGTACATACATGTCAACTTTTAAATAATGGTGTTTTTCCTTTCAGCTACTTGCTCAGACAGGACTCAAAAAGGAAGATATTAAAATGTGGGAAATCAATGAAGCATTCAGTGTTGTTGTCCTAGCTAACATTAAAATGCTAGACATTGATCCACAGAAGGTAAATATTCATGGAGGAGCAGTTTCTTTGGGACACCCAATTGGGTAAGTAAAAAAAAAATACATTACCTGGTGGTGGGAAATAACCGATCCTTGTATAGGTAGTCCTCAATTTATGACTGTAATTATCCCCAGTCATAACTCATGCTAGTCATTAAGTGGTTAATCATGTGAATGCATCTAATTTTATGACCTTTATTGTGGAAGTTAATCAATGGATGCTTTTTGACAAAAACTGGAAGTAAAGGCCAATTTCAACAAAAACATCATAAATTGTTGGGTCAAGTGCCCAAAATATAATCACAATTTATTTATTTCACATTTTTGAACTGCCCATCTCCCTGAAGTCCCCTAACTCTCAAAAGCTGCTTTTTTCTGCAACTATTTAATATAACCCAATACTGGCTTTTTATTGAGATCCTTGCAATGAATTTATATAACTGACAATTAGCATATCTTATACTGATTTTATCTCTGAGCAATATTTGAAATAGCTCATGTTGCATACTTGTTCTTAGCCGATTGTAAAATGCCACATAGAAAATATTCACAAACTATTACTCAGATTTTAAAAAAATATTTTAGAGATTAGGGAACTAGGTGCCTCCAAATATTTCTAATATTAATTTGCAGATTGGACAACAGCTGACTGCATATATTCTAAAGTGTTGTAAGGCATGTTGGGAAAAAAACATTTGTGCCAGAATTACAATTCATCTAATTAGTACTTACTTGGGAAAACTAGTAGAATATTAGGAGCATCAACCATTACTTGCTAGACTTTGTCTTTGAACTCAAAAGCAGTTGAATTATCTTTGTAGTAGTAGGAAAGCTTTGACTTTCCAGAGATTTTTAGACTGGATCTTTGAATTTGCTGCTTGAGATAATAGGAATCTAGTGGCTGTACGTTCTTCACCCCTGCTCTAGTGTATCTCAGCCTGGAACATGGTGTAGTATGCATGAGTCATCTGAGAATCATTGTTTTTCAGCTCTGCATTAGATAAAGCAGTGACCTCACCCAGTACAAACCAGTTCTATTTTAGGATTCCTATGCCCTATCATTCTACAACTCTGATTAGCAGCTTTTGCATAGTAATCTTTTTTCTGTGCTCTACCTTTCAACACCTCCACATCTTGTCTTCTCCTCCTGAGGCCCAACACACATCATTGTGAGAAAGGAAGTGAAGCTATCTGAATTAAACTCACTATAGCAATAGCACTTAGACTTATATACCGCTTTATAGTGCTTTACAGCCCTCAAAGCGGTTTACAGAGTCAGCATATTGCCCCCAACAATTTGGGTCCTCATTTTATCCACCTCAAAAGGATGGAAGGCTGAGTCAACCTTGAGCCTGGTGGGATTTGATCTGCTAAATTGCAGTAGGAGTAGCTTGCAGTACTGCACTTACTGCACCACCGAGGCTCCCTAGCCTTATAGGAAGTATATACCCATATTTTTTGCTCCATAAGATGCACTCCCCACCCCCCAAAAATAAAAGTGGGTGAAAATGTCTATGCATCGGTGCAGGTCCTTTGGTGAATAGCAGCCGGGCCACAGCAGCAGGTCCTGTTACAGTGCTGAACCCCGCCTCTTCTTTGTCATTACCCTCCACTTCTGTCTCTTTTCCGCATGCAGGAGTCAATAGGCAGAGCTGGCACATGAGAGGACACCTATCTGTGGTCCTCTCAGGCTCTGCCTGATATTTTTCTTATTTTCCTCCTCTAAACCTAAGTGGGTCTTACGGTCAGATGTGTCTTGTAGTGTGAAAAATATATTTAAACTGACTAAAAACACTTGTTTACACAGGATAAGCTGAAAAAGCTAAGCAAAGACGGTATTCTGACTTGAAACTCTTTTTTCTTCTTCTCTATTTCAGGATGTCTGGTGCAAGAATAGTTGTTCACATGACTCATGCCCTGAAACAAGGAGAACATGGCCTTGCTGGCATTTGCAATGGTGGTGGTGGGGCCTCTGCAATATTGATCCAAAAGTTATAGGTTCTGATCTCAAGCTCTAAGGCCCAACTTACGAATAGCTGTTACAACCATGATTGGAATTGCAGTATAGAGGATTAATTTGCCTGCCATTGTTAAACAAAATTATGTCTTTTTATTATAGCATGTTTTCATGCAAAATGTTTTTTATATCTTGGACTATAAAACACATTAATTATCACCCAAATGCTGCCCAATGTCTACTGAATTGTAGACATTCTTTTGCTCTTCTCCCTTTGCCTCCTAGAATGAGGGCAGTGGATTGTGGCATGCGTAATTTTGCCCTGAAAACAACTGCTGGGTTGGAGGAAGATCGTATAGAAGTTACATTGGATTATGTTTCCACAATTAGTAGAAATAAACAAGAAGAGCTATTGAATAAATATTTACTATACAATAATAATGAATTGGTTTCTTATTCTAGCTCGGGGACTTAGGCCAATCACAGCTTGTGTTATTTGAGTGTCAAGCTTTTTTTTAAAATAGCATTTCGAAGTTAGTGTATAGTACAGTATAGTATAGCATAGTATTAGTATTAGTATAGTATTAGTATAGTACAGTACAGTGGTGGGATTCAAAAATTTTTTACTACCGGTTCTGTGGGCATGGCTTGGTGGACGTGGCAGGGGAAGGATACTGTAAAATCTCCAGTCAAAGGTGGTATTTGCCGGTTCTCTGAACTACTCAAAATTTCCACTACCGGTTCTCCAGAACTGGTCAGAACCTGCTGAATACCACTCTGGTATAGTATAGTAAATTGAAAAACGATCTTTGCTACTGAGTACTGTAGCTCTTCTGAAGGCTTATCTGTATATACTCGCTTGTATTTGTAACTGAGGAAAGTGTAACTTGTAATAGCAAATCACATTCTAGAAAAACAATTCCAGATAGTTAGATGGCAATTGAACTATAAACAAGAGTTAAAAGAGCAGTTAAGGATTTATATCCAGATGGTTTCTGCATGACAGTTTCAATCTAATTTATATAGAATTCCCCATAAAAAAGCAGTGATGAGTTGTTATATAGCTACTTTGTTCATTCATCCTCATACATATTTCAATATAGCAAAAGAAACCAGAAGCATTCAATTTTTCAGTGAAAGATTAAAATAAGGTTGAAGATAGCATCCTGTCCACTGATATAAAACAGGGTCTTTATTGCTAAAACCTCTTGAAAAAATACTTTTCATGTGTGGAAGTACACAGATTGAATTGTTAAACAGCTAAAATGCTATTTTTGAATTCTTCGTAAAGTCATTTTTAAATATCTGGTAGATGTTGATTATAAATATCCAACCTAAAGCAAAGTGAACCAAGCTATATTTACAATATCCTTGTTTTAATTGAATGCAAAATCATTACTGCTGTTACCCTTAGTACATACAAGGCTAAAAAAAGTGAGCCTTGTATATACATGCCTGACAATTTACAACCAGAAAAATGACGATTTTACATTATATAAGAAAGTTACTGAGTAGAACGATTTTTAAGATTCTCCTCAGATCCCTAAGATTTCTTCTCCTGCAAGGACAAGGTGCAAGCATGCAACAAGAGCTATACTGATTGAGCAGTTCTGCTTTTCCACTCATGCCGTTTTAATTGTGTGAGATACCCACTACTGCAAATGATGTCACATCCTTGGGATATATATTTAAATTTTCACTTGCTTAAACAAGTTAAGCAAGGGTTTATCAAAATTAAATCTGTATCCCTAAAGGCAAAAACCACATCCCTAAGTAAATTCTGTTGTGTAAATTAGAAGCTTGTTAAGATATCTATGTATAGTAAGAGAGTTGAAAAGTATTTATTATGATAGATTACAGCTAAAGGAAAAAAACAGAAAAGGAAACCTGAAAGTTCTCAATACAAAATTAGCTGGTTTTCTGCTACAGACCAAGCATTACAGTATATACTCAAAGATAAGCCCACCATGGATAAGCTGAACCCAATTTTTGAGGGGCTGCTTTTTTTGATGCCTACTGTAAATTCTCAGATTATCTGTAAGTATATACAGTAAATTCATCCAAATCCATCTGTATGAAGTTGATTTGATTAAACCATGGGGTCCAATCCTAGGCACACAATCCAAAAACAGAGAACAATTCAGCAGTCTTGGTTCTAGGCGTCTTTAGGATAAGAGGTGTCTGACACCATGAAACCCTGTTAAAACAATTCTAGAAGAACATAGTCAACACCTGGTGTTAATAAAAGTAGCATTTTGTTCTTTTACAACTTGAAAATCTGTACAATAATTACATGACAAAATAAACTATAAATTTAACATAGAACTTTTAAAGGCTCACTTAGAAAACACCTATCAAGTTCTTTAGATCCAGGATGATTTTTGTTTCAGAAGTTGAATTTTGATGGATTACGCAATATAATCTTAAACTTGTTCTCTTCATTGTGTTGAAGAACATCTGTGCTTGAATATAGCTGGCATTTATTCATCATAATGCAATGATAATAAAAATTTATCCACATCCATTTCTGCAGGAAAGGCAATTGGTAATTTCTTTTGCTGAAAAAGAAAATGTTTTAAGATATATAAAAATATTTATGACTAAAAATCTCCATAGAACAGATCATTTAAGCTCTCATCTCCAGCAATGCCTATGTTCAAAAGCATCAACAAATTTTCTTCTGATAGTAAGACTACCTCATGCCCCATTTTTTAACTTCTGTAAGATGTATGCCAGGTAGCCCAAGGAATTATTCATAGGAGTTAACAGCACGATCCCTTATGCCACGGGTGTCAAACTCGCCACATCACGTTGCAGTCACATGATGTTTCATGACGTTTTTCCAATTCACGGAGCTGGAGTAGGCGTGGCCTGGGCCTGACGCATCCAGCCTGCAGGCTGCCAAATTGACACCCTTGTCTTATGCATTCTAAACTAATTGCAGATTTAAGATTTTAAGAATTAAGCTTCAGCCTTAAGCACTATTGTCAGTATCTTAAGCACTAAGCAGTTAACAGCTGTTTCATACCAAGCAGTGAAGATATATTACCACTATAAGTAAACACTTATTCTATATCAAAATGATTGATATTTTCCAATTTTATACCTTAGTCAAATCCTTATCCTGAAAATGGCCTATCAATGGATAGAAAAGAGAAAGGATGTATACCATAAACAGTGACAAAGTCAAGAGGAGGATTTTCTTCCCCAAAGTATATGAATACAAGTAGGAATTATAGGGAAGAGGTTTCTTGTCCACATGTAGAATACACTGGAATGTTTCCCATAATTGGCTGTTAAGGGATTAATTGAGCCAATTTGGTGCAATGGTTAAGGCACTGGCTAAAAACCAGAAATCATGAATTCTAATCCTTAGGCATGAAGCCAACTGAATGACCTTGGTCTAATCCCACTCTCTCAGCCCTAGGAAGAAAGCAAGGGCAAACCACTTCTAAAATCTTGCAAAGAAAACTATGATTCAAAGGCACAGAAGGACAAACTGAGGGATTGCTACTCTTCTTTATGTAGTTCTCTGTCGGTATAGGAATAATGTCATGCTGTTAAATAAAAAAAACCTGATTACCTTTATTTTCTTTTTTTTAATGGGCAATGCAAAATTCTGAACATCCTTTTTACTGGTAGTCCGGGAATTCTTTTCACAATCCACAGAGTCTTCCTGCTTTCTTTTTTTAGTTGCACTTCTTATAGACTTAAACTGTTGAGTATTGTCCTTCAGTGGAGTAGCTGTACTAGTCCTTGAAATAGCAGCGCGTGAAAGTATCATCAAAGTGTGGGCAGCCATGCTAACGCTGTTTTCACTACCCGTTTCACTTGCTGGGCTACAAGCCGGCAGATCAGGAGTAGCTGGAGGAACCATGATCCTTGGTGTTGTACTATCTTCACCATACCTTTTACAGGTTGGAGTCCTTATATCAAAAGTATCATCTGAATGTCTATCACTAGCACCTGAAGGCGTACGGGGTAGTGGCAGTTCCCCATTTTCAGGTAGCTTACTAGCGGGGCTATGCCTTTGAATATCATACAGCATTTCCACAGCTTGCTTAGTTAAAGGACCAGTCAAGCTATTGACTTGACTGGGAGACTTCGTTTGCTCTTTTTTAAACTCCTTTGAGGAGGGTAAAATGCCTGCATTTTTATTGTTGGCATTTGGCTGAAGCCCCTGTTTTTTAGTTACTTCCTGAGCTGAGGAACAATTCTTCTCATGATGACTTTGTTGGCTGTTGGATAAGGATGCCGCCTCCTGAGTTTGGGGGACAAGATTCCTTTCTAATTCATTCTCTTTATTCGCTGTCTGCTTTCTTAATATATCTGATGCTAGTCCTGGACCCGAACATTTTTTTTCCAGTTGGCTTTCCTTGACAGCCAAATTTTTGCTACTAATATCTGGCTTACATAAAATTCTTGGCAGAGTTCTTTCACGATCCCTCTTGCTAGGTTGAGTTTTTGTTGATGAAAGCAAGGTATTAGAAGAGCTTTGACAGAACTTAGGATTCTCATTCTTTTCTTTTTGTGATGCTTGGGTAGTATCAAAGCAAAGCACTCTTCTGTGGCTGCCATTTTGTTTGGAACTTGGGCTTGTTGTATCAGCTTGCACAGTTTCTAGCTTCTTTTTCAAGTCCGCACAAATATTCTTGTCTGAGTTTCCAATTCTGAAAGAAAAAAAATAGTATTTGGCAACTTTGCATGAAATTTCTATTTTAATTATTTTTGCTATCCAAAACCACTGCTCGGTGCTTAAATTGGTTTGAACTTAAATCTCCTTTAATAAATAGATTTAAATATGACATAAAATGTAAAACATTTTAAAATTATTTTACATTATTAAGATGAATAGAAGAATGCCTAAAAACTTTTTGTTTAGATGTCTATGGAGATTTTCAATCTTCCAAGTCATAGTTGTTCCAAAGTTGCTTTTTCTGAAAGGCAGCTGAACTTTGTATTTGTTTTTTGTCCTTTGAAAACATTTTGTTTCACATCCAAGAAGCTTCTTCAGTTCTGAAGTGAAACATTTTCAAAGAAAAAATACAAACCAAAGTCCGGTTGCCTTTTGAAAAGCATCTTTGGGCTATTTTGTTTAAGACTATTTTTTAAATTTTTCCTATACGTATTTGTATTTGTAGCATACACATAAAACCAGTTAGAACTGTCTCCTCAGAGTATTTGACAACACTCATTGAAAATGATTAGCATAAAGATAAGAACAATAGCCTGAAGCGATTTTTACAGGTACTCCTTGGCTTATGCCCATTCGTTCAGGGATCTTTCAGTTACAGTAGTGCTGAAAAAAATGGATGTATAATGAACCCTTGAAATTCTGGCCACTGAAGCAATCGGTCAAGTGATTGTGGTCTGGGCACTTAGGTTCCCAGCTCACAATTACAACATCCTGTGATCAAGATTTATGATCTTCTATGACTGCTTCCAACGAGAAAAATAAATGGGAAAGCCCATAGGGAAAGTGACAAATCGCTCCTGCCCACAGCAACGCTTTCCCAATTCCAAATCACTCAAATGAAGAAATATTGTATGAATTGATGTTTTGTCACTAACTCCCAAGATTACGTTCTGCAATTTTGTGGCTGCTGGTTATAACGAAGATCAGCCAGTTTATACATTTCTCCAGGTCCAGCAATAATACAAACTAAGAAATACCCCACTGCACAACTGACCTCTGAACTCGAGAACCAGGATGATTGACAGGTTCTGATCCATTGAGCACTGGCTTTCCTAAATGATTGAGGCAAAATAAATATTTTTTACAAATAGCATTCAAGAAGCATTTAGTTTTATACTAAGTCACAAAATGTTTTAGGATGTCTTTTTGAGTACAGAACCCATATTTTATTTCTCAAGACACTTTTAAAAAATTGAAGCGCAGATAAAACATTCACAAGAGAATAAATGAGTCTTTAGAGTCTTCTTTAATGACTTCCTCCTACTCTCAAACCTGACTGCTCTGAGCTAGTGAGAGACAAGGGCCTCTTGCAGATTTGAAGATGTGGATGAAACTGCATGGGTTTCAAATAAGATAATGCTGAAGTAAAATAAGTACTTGGAAATATAGTTGCAAATAATGTATGTGGTACTCTATAAATCAATCATATAATTCTCAACATTTAGGCAGTCATATTTTAGCACCCAGGGAATTTCCCCAAAAGACTTAACATAGCTGGTCGTGACTGGCTGCCTTGAATGCTTTCTGGGTGTAAAAACAGGAAATACATGAACGAAAAGTGATGCTAACGAGGATGAAAACAGTAACTGCATAAATGAAACAAAGCTGGATTTCTTTAGGCAGAACTGCAGCTGCATATGGAGCTAAACTTGTAAAACATTCCAAGCCTTTGCGCAATACAGTGCTCAGTCTAGAAGAACTATTAAGCCCAGCATTTGGTCCAGCAAAAGAAAAGCTACTCCATCTATGTCTAGCTGTAAATCTATACTGAAAGTTGTTAATTTCCACATACGCAGCACATTTCTCTGCTTTTGATAGTCAATCTTATCAATCCCAAACTGCCTTAAAACATTGATTCAAGACTCCAATGGATCAGTTAACAGAGAAACGAGATAAAACTAAACATTAATTGTAGGCTGAGGACTCTTTAACCCAAAACTTTTGACACCTTCTTTCAGTAATAGTAAAGAGCCTGAAAAGAATGGGAGACAAGATGGAACCTCATCTCCAGCAAATATTTGAACTAATATAACCTTGTGCAGCCTATGTCCTCTGCTTACCTCCCCCATTTGGTTTACTTCTTGGTATCCTGTAAGATTTTGGAGGAAGAGGGAGCTTAGGAACACCTCCACTGCTCAATGAAGTGTGGACCGGCATGTGCAGAATCTTTAAAAAGTGAAAGGAATAGAAATCAAGTTTTCTAAAAAGTTTCTTTAGCTCAAAAAAGAATATAAACAATAGTTATTTTTTAAACACAGCATTTTACCTGACAGGAAGGATCTGAGATAGCGTTTCCATTTTGTCCCATTATAGATACAGGAATCATTCCTACCATTCCTTGCAATACAGGCTGTATCGGAGAAGCAATTATAATTGCAGACCCTAAAAAAATTAAGGTATCCATGTGAACTATATAATTTTACATTCCTCCGTCTCTTTTTCGCTCTCCTATGTAAAAGTCAGTGAAAATACTGAAGACAAATTTTGATAGCTGAAGCTAAGTAAATCTAATCTAGTAACCTTCGAAGCTATCTCTAAATAGCTTTAAGCAGTCCAGAGAAAGGACAAGCTATGAGCAGCAAAAAATGTAGTGCCAACTAAATAAACTAACTTTAGTTTTGATGCAACAATGAAAGATTACAGCTCTAAAGACAAATCAATAGCAAATTACAGCATTTCCTAAAAGCCGGTTCATAGTTTTTTTCCACATGGAGTAAGTCTACCTCAGCTTTGCAGTCTTACAGAGGAAGTGTGGCCCCCACTGATGCAGTCAAATTTTTTATTAGCAGTTTATATAAAATCTGAAAAGAATGGCAAAGCTGAGTATAAACAAGAAATAGAAATTGAGGTGTATGGACATGAACAAATGAATGAGGTCCATTTGTATTGCCTCTTTGAGAAGAGCCAGGATGATATCAGAACATTATATTTTTCTAAAATAGTTTCCAACTCAATTTTAAAGGTTTGTGAATCATGTTGAATTTCTGCATAAATATAATCTAAAATGTGATCTGTTCTCCACACAAGTGGAGAACATAAAGCAACATTTATTTTTTCAATAAACAATTGGGTTCTCTTTATCTAGCTTTAGGACGTGTATGGAAATCATGTTTTAGGTTGTATTTATTCAGAAATATTAAAACTTCAAAGGACAAATTTTAAGCATTATTATATTTATACCTCAGGCATATTATACTGTATATACTTCTTAGTCAAAAATATGATATAACTCACAACTAAATATTGGAATGCTGAAGAAAACTATCAATTTGTAAGCAACTGAGCATTAGGTATTAAGAAATACAGATTAAAGGATTAGACAATCATTTACATATTGTTATTGTACCTTATTCTATTAAAACAGGATATGACTTTCAGTTTAAGTTTAGTGGCTGCAAAAACAAAAAAAGGAAGTCTTAGTGCTTGAATAGACTTCTCTTCTATATGAATCTTTCTATGTGAATATTGAGGACCATTGAGTCTTCATGATCCTTGATTTTGACCAAGTCAGAAATTTAATTTACTCATCCAACTTTGATTTTTTTTTTATTAAAAATTAATGGATATTATTAAAATATTAACGGATGTCAACATGCTACATGATATGGATTCAAGGTGCAGCAATTACCAATAAAAGCCAATTCACTTACATCAACTGATTTCAACTCATCTATGACTCAATCACCATCATGTACATTTTATCCATGATATTAAATTTTTCCTTAATATCAGTCTCTAATTTTATTTGACCGTTATAAATTCCTTCAACCAACAGTACATTAAAATCTAACTGTTTTAAAACCCAAGCAAACATTTACTTGTCCACAAATAATTACCTTGTGAAAAGTTTGGAGACATTGGTGGGTTCATGGCAAACAAACCGTTTGTCCTAGGAGGAGTCCGTAACTGTGGTAGCATGGGAACCTGTGATGCAAGAGAAGTTGAATTGCTCGGAAACACAACTAAATTTGATGGAGTAACGTTAGTACTCAATGTTGCTGGCTCAGATATACAGGAGGCAATATAAACACTATTGGAGCTTCCAAAAGACGTGCTTGTGGCTGGCATCAGTTGAATAAATTCTCCATCCTTGGAAACATTACTTGTGCCAGCAACTGAAAATACTGCACAATCTTCATTCTGTATGTTGAGGGAACTCACAACAGAATCTTGAGGTCTGAGAACCAAAAGATTCTGTTCTATCAAAGCTGAATCTCCAGGCCTTTCAGACTCTTCGGCTGTTATAGATTGATATGTTCTTGTCATCTTGGATGGTGATTTAGCTGGAGAAGACAATATTATAGTTGGTACATTTTCCCCTGTGATGCTGGAAACAGCATTGTTTAGTTCAGTGTCTGATGAAATGAATGGATCATCGCTAATAATAATTTTTAAGGAAACAATATTAGAAGGATCTACACCAGTGCCTTGATTACTAGATGAAACACCACCAGCAACTTTGTTTCCTGGGCTTGTTTCACCTGCTGGATCTGCAAGTGGAGAATGACATTCACTGGATGTAGTGGGATTGGCCTCAGTAGTTGTTTCTGTAGGCCTCTCATTATCAGAAGTTAAAAATAAGCTATCGGCATCTGCTTTTGTAGAAGATGATGGTTCCTGCATTTCTACCTGTGTTATTTCAGAATCTTCCAATTTCTGGTTTCCGTATTTTAGGCAAGGCTCTGGGTCAGTAGCTGGGTCATCCAAATTAAGACTATTGGAAGTACCAACAACTTCAAGCTGGAGCTCTACTACATTTGGACCGGACGCTTCAACCGCAAGTGTTGCAGAAGGTTCTGATTCCAACTTATCTGAGCCTTGACAATCAGAAGAACTAGGACTGTTTCGGTTTTGTTGGGCAGATACAGGAAATACAGATTGGTCTATTACCTGATGTAAATTTTCAGCAATTCCTTTTGAATGGCTGCAATTCACACTAAGTTTGTTCACTGTTCCACTTTCATCAGATTTCAAGGGAGCAAGCACTTCTGCATTTGTTTTTTCAGATAGTATATGATTTGGCAAAGAACAACATTCAGTTCTATCAGATAAAACTGTTTGTGAAGTATCCAGCCGATTATACGGCAAATCAGGTAAGTTCTGAACACCTTGACATAATACATCCTTTTCAATTGTATAATTCCTTGTAGCTGTTCCTTGTTTGTTGTAAGAATCTACATTGTGCTCAGTACTAGGAAACTGATTTTGCTCAGATTCAAAGGTAGATTTTGGCTCTATTCTTTGGACAGGTGTCTCCATTTCAACTGATTCACTTTGATTTCTCACTTCAGAGCCTGAAGAAAATTCTCCAGATACTATAGTTTGCATCTTTAGATGCTGTTCTAAAGTCAAATCATGTTCACTGCAACTAGTCTTTAGGATGCATGCTTCTTTTGAATGATCATCTGTATATGACAGAGTCTCATGTGAATTATCACCTGCAATATAAAAATAAAATGAATTTAGGGAAAAAAACCTAACAACCAGATTTTAAATTGAATTATTAATCTTCTGTATATTTTTGTCAGGACAATGTTTCTTGACAGTCATTTTCAACTTTCTGGGTTCTGATTTTTAATGACAACCTGAACTAGAATCTCTAAAGGATGAGATGAATAACATCAGAAGGATAAAAAGATATCCCTGTCTACCCTTTTCAAAGGACATATGATAGAGCACAGAATAAATCCGCATTGCTCATTCACTGAATGCATTTGGAATGTTGTGTGCAGTTCTGTCACTGCATCTTAAGAAGGTCATTTCTGCAAGAAAGTCCAAGAATTGGTAACAAATAATCACAGTTACATATGTATGAATAATTGTAGTAATTAGATATAATACATACAAAACTATACATATGGAACAAACAAGAACTCTCTTTTGCCTCAAGACAAAGCAGAAATGGATTTCTTTCTTTCACTAATTATGGAAAGAGTGATATATAATCACTAAAATCAATATTTTAGCAATGGCAGGCATTCTAAGCTGATTTATGGAGAAGAAAAAAAGGTATTAAACATAAGTTGACAGATTGTATAAAACAATCCTTAGGTTTTTAAAAGGAAGATAGAAACTTAATTGTAACTCAAATTTCAATTCATCAACTTGCAGTCTGACCTTATATGAATTTGCAAAAAGCTAATTCCACGTATTTCAAAAGGAATTACTATACTTTGCACAATAAAGACGTATTTAGCATATTATAACCATTATGAAATCTTCTGGACCCACAGGTGGTATTTAATTTTATAACAGGCATACCATTACCCCAAACCCATGATAGTAAGTCTTTAAATCAATAAAGAGTTGTATGTCAAAGAAACCAGATACTAGAAGTATTTTAGAAATGCTTACCAAGTTCCTTGGTGCTAATATAGCTTTCAAGTGCTTTTAGGTTTTCTTCATCCACCAACATTGAATTATCTGTTCCATTCTGTATACCCTGAGAAACATTTCTACAATTCTTCGTTTTACCTGTTTAAAATAAGAAAAAAAAATCCTAACTTCAACATAAGGTGGAAGAATCCAAATCAATTCCTTAACTGCATTAAGGAATTGCAGTTCAGTTTTTGTCATCAACTTCATACTTGAAGCCATTCTTTAGAAATTATGTCAGGCCCAAAATGAATATTTGTAGCAGGTCCAATCTAATCTATGTGAAAACCTAAAAACGCTAAGTCAAATATGAACTGAAATCCTAATACAACTGTTTTGATGGGATGGAATGCAAAAACTACTTGTTTGTATGACAGAAATGTCTAAATGACAAACGATAAAAGAATAACTTTTCAAGTCTCTCCTAGCTATAGTTTTGCAATATAAAAATAAAATGAATTTAGGGGAAAAAAACCTAACAACCAGATTTTAAATTGAATTATTAATCCTCTGTATATTTTTGTCAGGACAATGTTTCTTGACAGTCATTTTCAACTTTCTGGGTTCTGATTTTTAATGACAACCTGAACTAGAATCTCTAAAGGATGAGATGAATAACATCAGAAGGATAAAAAGATATCCCTGTCTACCTTTTTCAAAGGACATATGATAGAGCACAGAATAAATCCGTACCACATGTGGAAATTCTAAACTTGCAGTCAAAACACTTTTGAAAAATGCAGGATAGCAAAAACTGGGAAAGTATCACTGGAACTGTGAAAACTCGTCATTATCATGGCAGGAAAACTATATTATTGTTTTAATGGAAGAGCTGAATCAGACTAGTAAACTAAAGTTCTCGAGAGTATCAATTTATATTCTCTGTTAAAATATATGGACACAAAGGGTTATTCAGTCAAAGTGCAAGCCTTTCATACACTGTAATAGTTTTCTTCTCAGTCCCACTGAGTTCAATGCAGATGATTGGAAATAATTCACCATTGTAAAAATGATATTTAAAGTGAAGAATAATCCATACCAAAATCAAATACATCAAAGAGTCCTTGAAATGCTGGATCTGATTCTGTTTGCTCCAGAATCTCCTGGATAGCTTCTTCTGTCATGTGAATTTCACCCTGCTGGGGTGTACAAATAATCAGATATCAGTTAAAATGTACTCATTTTCTCTATGTGAGCAAAAAATATTCTGAAAGCTAGTGCACAATAGGCCGTCAATCAAATTGAAAGATTCACAGAAGTACGGTTCTTTGTGGGCCTATCTTAATCAGAACTGAGAAAAGGAAAAGTAGGCAGACAAATGCACAACCTGCAGCTTAGGAATTTATGTAGTTCTTTGAGCAAAACCCTAATTTATTTGCTACTTATAAAACCCAAATACTGTATGTATTAAAATCAGACACTTACCTGAAGACCAAGAAATTCATCAATCGAAGACTCTTGTATTGTTGGACCACTTTCCACCTGTTTTGCTGTCTGAGATATATTGCCATCGCTGAGAAAAATGTGTAAATATTTAGTATGTTTCAGAAATAATCTAAGCATCTTGAATATTTTTTTTAAAAAGAAATCTATTACCTGCCCAAGAACTTATTAATATTTTCAGCTAGCTTCTCCTGAAGACATTTGCTGCTCAAAATTTTTTCTCTGGCATTTTCAATAATCATTTGCTAGGAAATAAATTCAAAGTAGTCCAAATTTATGTTTTCATAAGAAAAATTAATCCTATCAGCACCCTAATAATCTCTTCCCTCCAGTGGATATACACTCCCATATACTGTATAATTTCTTAATTGGGACATCAAATATGACATTTGTGCAATGGTCAGCTAAATCTTAGAAAGTTTGTTCCCAGTGACCTTTTTTCTATATACCTCTAAACTGTAGATGCGGTTCCTTAAAAATGAAAAGACCTAAGACCATATTTGTAGCACGCACATGATACAGATAGTCCTCAACTTACAACAGTTCATTTAGTGACTGTTCAAAGTTAAAACAACACTGGAAAAAGTGACTTATGACTGTTTTCAGTTACAACCTTTTCACCATCCCCATTATCATATGATCAAAATTCAGATGCTTGGCAATTGGTTCGTCCTTATGACACTGCAGCATCCCAGAGTAATGTGATCCCCTTTTCCAATATTTTGTCAAGCAAAGTCACCGAGGAAGCCAGATGCACTTAACAACCCAGATACTAACTTATCAACTGCAGGGATTCACTTAACAACTGTGGAAAGAAAGGTTGTAAAATGGTTCAAAACTCACTTAACAAATGTTTCACTTAACAATAGAAATTTTGGGCTCAACTGTGGTTGTAAGTCGAGGATCTAATTGTACCTAAGCAGCAATTTGGATGATGAAAGCAACCCTGTAAACTCCCAACCATCTTCTGTCGTAATATTCTTACCATATAGCTAATAAGGGCTTATTCACCTTGACTACAGCCTTGCATTTAAAGGATTAAAAATATTTGCACAAAATGCTATTAAAATCCCCCACCACCAAAGAAAGGAATAATATTTCATTCTAACATGGAAAGTTTTAAAAGAGAAAAATCTCTGTACACCAAGACATCTATAAAACTGGGATAATCAAACCAAGAAAAAGGGGGAAGGGTAAAAAAGAGAAATATGAAGTTTGTTTTTTAAAAAATATGGCTTACAGGAAGGTCACCGTCAATAAGTTCTAGTTGCTCACTTTCTTCTTCCATGGGTGAGCTTTCTTTTTCTGCTAGAGGAGACTCTTGTAAGCTACAATTAGACAACTGTGGTCCTGATGCGTTATTCCTTTTCTTCTGGGAGTCACTGAAATATTTTAAATATTGGATGGGAAGAACATGTTATTAAGGCTAGAACTTCATGGCCCCTGCATTACCTTATCTATTCATGCTTCATGTTTTGTTCAACATTACATTAACATGTTTCAGAGAAATCCAATGGAATTGTAATTGAATTAGACACATAATTTGCAGTCTAAGAGGACAATAACAGAAAGTAAAAGTGAGATATAATGACTTGACCCAAATTCATAAACATGTCAGTGGAAATGTAAAAGGAGATTAGTATGAATCAAGTACCGCATACCTTTTCTCTGCTTCTCATTTTTCACATCTTTCCTTATGCACAAATTCTGACTATGCAACATATGTCACACTATAAATACTATAAAGCTAGGAACTGTTACCTTTTTCTTTTTCCTGGAGACAATACACTTGAGTTAAGCTTTTGCTCTTGTAGTGCAGAAACCAAAGTGAGGGTATCGCCCGCTTTAAAAAAAAAAGCATTTAAGAACAAAATTATGTTAAGCATTGATTTGTTTAAGATGTTTAGGGTATCAATAATGAATCATTGTCAGTATTAAGAAAATGAGTATGGTACTGATTGGAAAAAAACATGGCACTCTCTCTTTTGAATTTAATTCAAACATGGGCTGTATAAAAATCTAAATAAGAAAACAACTATTTTGTGCCAGCTGAGAATACAGCACAGTTTAATTTTCCCTTGGAGAATATAAGGCTAGTAGGTGGTATTACAGGTGGAGACTTAAAGGACCAGAGAAGCTGTAAGGAAGAGGAGGAAGAGAAAACTAGAATGGTATTGTAAAGGCTAGCTGGTAAGATAGATCTAGACAAATCCACTTGCTGAAGATTATTAGTATGCTACCATACAGGCGAGTAATTCTAAAATAGACTAGGCAGCATTATAAATATTTTTCCTGGGATGGTGGCAATTATCTGAAGCAGATGAGGACCCAATGCAGAAAAAGAAGAGAATGAGGTAAAGAGATAAAGAGGAGAATGCAGGAAGAGACCAAGTGTATCTTTTTCTGATGATATGTCAGGGACTAAAGATGACAGAAAGGTGAGATTTTCAGAGACTAAAGGAAATGTTGGCTAGTTTCTTTAGGCTCTTCCTTAATTTTATATAGCAATGTTTAGAATATTTAGAAACAGAAGGGAGCGCATACAGTAAACAAAAGTATGTCTAAAAGATGAACCCACAGGAAGCCCTGGTGCATGAAGATTGAAGTAATATTTTATTTTCAATGGAAACAGAGTTTTTATACTCCCTATATGTTAAATTCGGGGTGTGAATGGAAGAGAACCAGAGTGATCTTCAGCAAAAGCTCTTTATTGAATACATATGAACAATAGCTAAACAGTCTGGCTGACAGCGCTCCTTTTATAGGGAGCTGTCAACCGGGCAGCCAATCAGATTAAAGTATTTTCTCACTTCAACAGCGGACCTGAGTGAAGACTAGCTTCTAGATTCAGCAACTAATTACAATACATAATACTATATTTAGTGGCAGAAAGGAAATCCTATACTGTTGTGGTCACATGGCTTTCTCAACAGTTTCCTTATAGCTTGTACCCACTATTCAAGAAAATGTTCAATAAACTTACTATTAATTTGGCTTTCCTGAATTTGGCCCTGCTGTGTAGAAGGAGAATTTAATCTTGTGTGAGCCAGACTTGAAGCTATAACTGGTTTAAGAACAACCTGTGTGGCTGTCATTGCAGTGGAAGTTAGTTGTCCTGGCTGATAAACTGCAAGTGATGATCCTAAATTAGAAGAGGCTGATTGTTGAAGGCACTTCTGCTTTTTCATATCTGCAATTGCACTTCTGGTGCGACCTTTAAGTAAATATTAAAAAAGAAACATGGATTTTTTCATTATTTAATTAGTAAATTTATATGACCACCCATCTTATGCATATGACTTTGTTTAAATAAATCATTAAACAAACAATTAGATGTTAGATAATTTCAGGAGCCAACTAAGTTTTAAAGAGTCAGCTTTGGCATTGAAATAAAGGTGATTGTTTTTTGTTCCCTCACTCACTATTAATTTTGAGCCCGAAAGCATTTATTATTCTGTTGGCAAATATAATGGGCATAAAATAAATGCTATGCTGTCTTGATACATATTCCGACTCAGGAATGTATGCCACATTGTATAATTATATAATTTAAAACTAATGGAAATATACTGAATTAGTACATGGCATTTTTCTAGATCATTTCTAGATTGGAGTCATTTCTCCCACATCTTCTGATTATTTTTGTACGGAAAGTATATTTGCTTACTAATTCATTAAATTTGTATGTCAACACAATCTCCAAGTATTGTCTCCAGTAAATAGCAATAAAATATCTAAAATATACAATGTTAAAATATCCTCAGTAAGAAAATAATTAACAAGATAGAGCCACATATACCTTTTATCATGTCATTTAAATAGTTTAGATCATGTCAATTATCCCCAAGTCCTCTTGGAAAAGCTGTTTTAATCAACTTTTGGAAAGCTATAACAGGGGGCCTTCTCTAACTTCCAGAGGGAGGGTCTAGTAGTTGCTATTATTGGGGGAAGGGAGTATCTTCAGGCCTTAGCATTCCTCACCTCATGGATATGGAAAATTACAAAGCTTTTTCCAGAGAAATGGGAAAATATTGCATAGAGATGATAGAAGAAAAGCTAGGGAAACTGTACTGGTAAATAAATGTCTAACATCTGGGTCTTGTATCCAATTTCCATGTTACATAGTCCAATATAAAACAGCTGCACTAGCATGCTTTATTAGAACAAAGTCTCAGTGAAATTAATGAGATTGATTTCTAAGTAATTATGATTTAAATGTATGAAAGGCTTTTAATAGTAAACTCAAGCCATATAGCATAGCTTTGAATACATACTCCGTTGATGAGCAGAAAATACACCTGAATTCTGCATGCTCCTGCAAAAATTGAATTTTTAGTTTGTTAAAATGCAGCGTATAAGCAAATAAACATTACATTTAGAATACTTATGTGCCAACCACATGTATAGATATAAATGCAAAAAAATAAGTTTCAGTTGACAGTTTTTTTATTTGTTTTATGCTATTTTGGTATTGTATAACATAGGAATTAGTTCCTGGCAGCAAATACAATCCTGTGATTTTGCACAATGCTGAGATGGGAAAATGCTGAAATTATGTAAAATGTATGGGAATCTCACCAATGTAAAATGAGACCAAAATTGTATAATACTTTAGCAACTACATGAAAATTGTACAAAATTGAAATTTTGAGTGATTTGAAGAAATGAAGAGTATGAACTCCCATAAAGTGTGATCGTGCAAAATTACAGTACAATCATTTAAAATGGAACATTTATTTTTCAAGGGCTATAGGAATTACAATCCTGCAGGTATCAAACTATTGGCTAATGACATCATATGGCTGTTCTGCTGTTACCAATATCTGTTTTAGTTTAACACATTATATACATTCATGGATTTATCTCATGGATTTTTAAAAAATGACAGCAGTTAAACTATTATAACTAAGACCATAATAATTTACTTAAATGACAATGTTTATTAAATTTAGTAGCTTTATAACATCATTCCGGTTATCAACTGAGTAGCTACCATTCCTATTGTATATGAATATGGTGGAAATAACAAAAATAACAATCAATAAACAATATTAAAAAGATTCATATACTGAACAATTATAACCCTAAATAAACATATATTCTTATATAAGTAAAATTCTTCATGAATATATTGTATCCCCCTCAAAATCCTGTTGAAAAAGAACTTTTAATAATTTCTCTGAATCCCAATACTATTATTTTAGGATTTGGATATTATTTTATAAGATGAAAATTTTATAAGATATAATGGATAGCATCCAATTTTTTTTTCTGCTAATGAGAAACAACAATTTCGCCTGTTCCCACTACTGCATCCTTAACGAGAGCCACACTGGTTCAAGTTAGGGCTGTCCATGGGACGTCAATATGAAAGAAACTGCAGTATCAAGAAAGCATGTGAAAATTGAATTCTCAATAATAAGAATATAAGTAGAGTCAGATTTACAGACTATTTGCACTAAATTCAAATTACCTGATTTGAGAAAGTGTATAATCTAACTTCTTCCATAAAGATGACATCATTGCTGGAACGTCATTTGTTGTTTCTTTAAAAAAATGATATATAATTTTGTAAAAATTTTAAAGATATTACAAGTGGAAAATCTGTGAATCAACAGTTATTTAACTAAGAAGCTTTATTTCTAACATCTAATTTATTTGATATTTGACCTCTATTTATTTTAGTATTTTTCACTTAATGTGATTGCTATTGAGGCTCTCTTCCTTTCTGCTTCTTACAGTTGATCAATGTTATTTAATTTTATTTTTCTAATTGATATGCTTTTTTCTACTTTATAACTACAGGTAGTCCTTGATTTACAACATTCATTTAACAATTGCCTTGCTTAGCAATGGAAATTCTGGTCCCAATTGTGGTCACAAGTTGAGAGCTATCTGTGTCTTTAAGTCATATTAAATTTATTTAAAGAGCATGATTTCAAAATAAACACATACATTTAATTGTATATCAACATTCTCTCAATGTAGTCAAAGCAAACCAATGCTAGCAATAAATTGTGGCATATATCTCCCACTCTTTACTTACACCTACCTTTGGATTTCATGGCTATGTACTCATTCAATATGGTAATTAAGTTTTTTCCAAAGAGAGACTGAGAAGAGAAAGAATAATATTAAACTATATTATAAAACACTGCAAAAATGTCACTTCCTCAAAAAAATTAGAAACATCAAACACCTACCCTATCTTTATGGCAAATTGTAGTTTAAGTGGTGCTACTTGTGTCTCTCTGGGATGCAATGTGCTGAAGAGGGGTCAGCAGTATAGGGACCACCCTTGCTGCCTAGTTCTTTGAGAACTGGCCTAGTTTCTGGTCTGCTGAACTCTTTTCATTTGGCTGGAATAGGCTGATGTCAGTCACTTGGCTTAACCTTTAACCTTGTGTGTTCTGGACAGGACTTGACATGTGTGTGAATGACTGTGACGTATGTTACCAAGTTCCTTCTTAACTAAGCCTCTTGACTGCTGAGTCCTAAGGGCAGGTGTACTTGGTGGAGGCAGGGGCTTGAGCATGGATGCAAGTGCAAGTTGGATAGGTCTGATGGTCTTGGAGAATGAAGAGTTTATTAAAGGAAGCTTTGATGAGCAGGTATGTGTCAAGTAGCGACAGGCAGAAGATATCAACCACATGAAGCAGACCAGAAAATCAACTTCATATGAAAATTATAGCTATACCGTAATATAACAGAATCTTGCAAATATAATTGTACTATCCCTCTTCTCCTTTCTATACTCCAATGAATCAGAGGGGCATTGTGAACTGCTTCTAAATATCATTACTTTCCCGGAGTTAAAAGAATGTTTCAATCCTCTTTGCCTAAGTAATGGCTCTTGCATATTTGTGACAAGGTCATCTCCTTTACTCCTTACATATGATATGGTAGGAATTTGAGGGAGGGCCACTTTCAGGGTTGGCCGATTCAATGGCAAGATTACTCCTGTTTGCCAGCCCTCAGCATTTATCCCTGATGTCACTGGGTCTTCATTGTCAAAATACTTCTTGGAATACCCAGGAACAGTATCCCCCTAGAGATTTGTACAGCTCCCACCTTGCTCCTCTGCAAGTGATCCCTAAAAACTTGACTTTTCTCCTAAGCCTTGGTTTATAGTGTTTGAATGTGCCCTTTTAAATTGGAAAACAGATGTTGTCTTTTATTTCTGTGAAACCACTTTGTATCATTCTGTAGTTGGGAAGCCTAGATATTCAATAAATAAATAAATTATTAATTATTCCATTATAGCAAGCTTTAAGGTATTATAAAGAGAAATAATTTCTTTTAAAAATAAATGCTACTTACTAGTAAACAGGCAGGTACAAAGCCTTCTCCTGTACAATGCTCTGCATATTCTTTTAAATCTGAACTTTCCAATATAAATGCTCTGCATGTGGCTAAAAGCTTTTCTTGTTGTAAATAACCTGAAAAGAGAAGCACTTTTTAAAACTTTTTTCTAATCTGTGCATCATGAAATGAAAAGAAAGTAAATTAACATTTGTTAATATTAAGGTATATTAAGGTTTTAGAGGCATTTATCTGAGATTGTAAATAAAGATGTATACATAATATTCCCCATGTTAATGTCTGTGTATGAATGATTATCAGTTTTTATAAGTATTGATTTTGTTCTCCCCCTTTTTTTTCTACAATGTTTATGTTTAGGTAGTTTTTAATCTACTATCGCTGCATTTTATATTTTGTAAATAATTTCAAATGCCTTTGTATATACATTCAATATATTTAATAATTTATGGTATGTTTTCAGAAATACTCTCCCTTTAAATGTAAACAAATCTACTATGCAATAAAGTTGCACAACTAAAATGGACCTCACTTGATGGAAATGTATTCTGAATGATTCTGCATTTAATAGGTGACAATTTATACAAAAACTTACAGTAACATTTAAATAAACATGGATTATATTTTGTACGCATATGCAGTGTTATATTTCCTGAAGGATGTGTATCATAGCATAAATTCTAATCTGTCAAAAAGATTATTTGTAGCCTTCTTTTTGATCATCTTTCTGCAAATCTTTCAACTTTGTGGACTGCCAACAGTGTCAAAAATACTATAAAAAGAAGCATAGCCCAATAAAACCACAAATATATTCTTCATAATTTAGTCATATATTCAAAATCTTTGTGGTAGAGACAGTCTGCCCTGATTAGACAAAAGAAAACAATATTGTAAGATGCAAATATCCCAAAATATAAAAAAGTTATTTCTGCTATCGAGTTGCCTCTGTCCAATGTGAAAACTTGCATCTACCATTTTATACTATTGCCTTTAAATATCCAAGTGTCTGGATGAATTGCAAATTATGAGCTCTTCAGTATTCAGAGACCTTCCACAAAAGCTTCAATAATTACAGGTAGTCCAAAACTTACAACCACAATTGAGCTCAAAATTGAGCTCAAATTTTCCGTGGCTAAAGTGAAAAATTTGTTCAATGAGTTTTGCCCTATTTTATGACTTTTTTTTGCCACATTTGTTAAGAGAATCAGTGCAATTTGTTAAGTCAGTAACATGGCTTCCCCATTGGCTTTGCTTGACAGAAGGTCGCAAAAGGGGATCGATCACCTGATCCAAGGACCCTGAAACCATCATAAATATGAACGTTGTATTTTGATCTTGCGACTATGGGGAGGCCGCAACACTCATAAATATGAAAAATGGTTGCTTTTTTTCAGTGCCCTTCTGACTCTGAACAGCCACCAAATGAACTGTTGTAAGTCGAGGACCACCTCTGTGTGTGTGTGTATATACACACACATATATATACATACACACACACACATATATAATACACACACACACACACAAGAATAACGAACTCCTCAAACTCAATCTGGGTGAGGTACCAAAAGATGCAAAACCTTGTCGGGTTTTAAGGACGAGGCAGGTTCGGCAAGGAAAGCAGATCAACAGCCACACGGACAGCGGGCTCCGGGGAAGAAGTTCGGGAGGGAGAAGAGCGCGAAACGTCAACGACCCTGAGAGGCATTTCTGAGCAGAAGGGCCGAGCCGCCTCGGAAAGTTTCCCCGTCTTTCCTTTCAAAGAAGCGGCGGCGGCGGCGGCGGGGGGTCTCTCTTAGAGACCTGCCAGTCCCACACCGGCGCTGCCCGTCTTCCTACGACTCCCTCTCCCTCTTCTAACCCGTTGGCCGAATGAACCCAGGCCGCGGGGATCAGCACTTCGTCCTGGTCGTGCGAATCCATAAAAGCGGCTCAACTGAATCAATCGCGCTTCAGCTCCGGGTGAAAGAAAAGCGAAGAGGGCCGCGCCTTCCTTCGGACCCCGTCGCTCTTCGCGCTTACCTAGCACCAGACGGGCCACGTCAGACGGCAGTAACATGGTGAGGGGAAACGGGATTCTGTCTCCTCACTCGCCGGCGAGGCGAGACCGACCCTCACCCGCTTCCAGCACGGCGATACGGCTTCCACCCCCCACCCCACCCCAAATCGCCGGTTTCTCAACTCGGGGGAAAGGCGCCCAAACCTCCCTCAGAAGAGCGAGCGCGGAAGCCCCAACCCGCCTCGCTTCGAGGGCTTCTGATCCGAGAGCCACAACAAACGCTTTTCCGCTTCCGGGTGGGTGACGGGAATGAAAAGTGTTTCCCGCCTCTCAGCTCCCGCGACGGCTGATAGTTTGTTCCAGCCTCCTTGAGGCCATGTGGGCGATGGAAGGGTTCGGAATGGCCCGAGCGCGCGCCTGAGGGGCTCCGGAGGGAACGTTGGCCGGAGCCCACCTCACGAGACCCCGAGCGGGTGACATTCAGGTCCGCTCTTGGCTTTCCCGCGCGAGCCTCCCCTGACTGTTCTCGCGCGCGCGTGTGCCTGCGTGTGTGTGTGGAAGCTTTGACGCCTATTCAGTTTCGAGGATTTTTGTTTCTCTCTCTCTTTCTCTCTGTGTGTGTGTCTCTCTCAGGCGAATGAAAACATTAGGCTCAATTTGCTCTCTTCTCCGACCTAGCTTTCTCCCGCAGCTCGTGGGAGTGCAACTCCCATCATCCCTGCCCGACAGGCAACAGCCGTGAAAGGATGATTTGGAATTGTAGTTCAGGATGGCTTGGTGTAATAATGGTTAAATTAAGCAAGGCGTTATCGGGCTACAACTGGGGAGGCCGTGAATTCTAGTCTCGCCTTAGCTGGGCGACCTTGGTTGGGTTGGTCGCTTTCTCTCAGCTTTAGGAAGGTGGCAGTGGCGCACTATTTCTGGAAGAAAAAAAAAAAAACTTGCCAAGAAACCTGCAGGGCTTGGAATTCCGACTTGCCCCTGGCTTGGAGAGCAGGAAAAACATGGAGGTTTTAGATAGCTTTACTTCTTGTATAAAGTGCTGAATTCCAGGGATTTGAGGTTAAACTTTACAGATTGTGCCCAGCCACTTTTCCATTAACCAACAGAACTTTATCAGAGTCCTTTAAAGAGTTGGATTTTTAATTACAACCTCAAAGATGACAAATCATGTTTGTTCACATTTATACAAATTGTACCATTATATATAAAAAAGGTTCTTAACAATGTTGGTAAAAATCTAGGGCTGTCTGTTGTCCAGAATCTATCAAATAACCAGAAATAATAATTCCTATAATCATTCCTAAGAAACTATGTGTAGTAGGTAAAAATATTTTAAATATTTTTTAATTTATTTTAATCATTTAATTTATATGAAATCATGATAGCATGATATGGGTGAAAATACTTTCCTGCTTGAAGACAAGTCAATTTAGTGAAAAGATGGGTGTATATTTTGGAAGTAATGCCTTTTGCTAGCTCAAATATTTTAAATGGATTAATTCAGTGAAGTTCTTATATTTTATTGTTAACCTACTGACGTTTTACAAACTTAGGTTCATATTGGATGTGCATTCACAACACCTTGGTTGAACCATGAATCTTGCAATTCATGATCTGCTGACTTGCTGTCATCAGCTTGGAAGTGACAAAGCTATGGAAAGAAAGGTAAGTTTAATTCTTTTTCAAAAATATGACATTGCAGTAAAGGAGTATTATATATATGTTTTTGTGTTTCTGTACAAATACAGAAGGAAATTGAGAAGTTCAGACGTCTTATCTGTGATCCAGAAACAGTTCAGCAGCTGGATCAGAATTCTGATTCCAAACATGGAAAACAGATGAACTGGGATACTGTATTCAGGTAACATATTTATAGTATGTATGTATGTATGTATGTATGTATGTATGTATGTATGTATGGTATTCAGCTTTGTTCAGGTATTTTCCCACGTCATTATAGTTGTGCTTTTAAAGTTGTAGCAACGTTTCGGCAGAATCTCATCTGCCATCATCAGGCTTCTGTATAGTGTTCGTCTGTGAGTCTATACAGAAGCCTGATGATGAAGCCTGACTATACAGAAGCCTGATGATGGCAGATGAGATTCTGCCGAAATGTTGCTACAACTTTAAAAGCACAACTATAATGACGTGGGAAAATACCCGAACAAAGCTGAATACCATACGTATAAATACCCATGAAAACTTAAGAAAACATACATACATACATACACACAAACACACACACACACACATATACAGCCTCCTCTTCTCCATCCTTTATAAATAAAGAATAAAATAATAGAGTTGGAAGCAATCATTTAGACCACTTCAGGCAGAATTCAAAGATTATTGACAACAATAGTTTTATAGCCTACCTTGATGTCAAAGAACTGTGGGCAGCATACAATAAAAGACAGAGAAATTAAACATCAAAATAAAAAGGAATAAAAACCTAAACAAAGTAAAATAGGGGGGAAAAAACTAAGACGTATGCTCTCAGATGCAGTAGGTGGGTCTAAATACACATGCATACATAGAGATTTCTTATTAAGGGAAATTTCCAACAGTTCCTCCCCAAACGAGCAGATTAGATTATTTAATTCTGTGGTGGGGTGGGAATCAGGTCTAACGCCTGCAGGGAGCCAGTGGGAGGTGGGGGAAAGACCTGGTAGGAGAGGAGAAAGCCTGTGGGGACTCAATGAGCAGGAAGTGAAGCATAGTGTTTCTGGGAGGGCCTTCCCCATCCTGAGACAATGATTCTTCACTTGATGATCCGCACTATCATTTAATGGACATAATAGGGAGAGTAGGAAGAGGGGGTTGTTAAGTGTAATGGGCAGGCTCCATTATGGTCATATGTTAAGGACTACCTGTATTCAGATTACTGGATCATCTCTCAGTTTTCTTAGTCTCATTCCCTGGTTGCCTGAAACTTTATTACCAATACTTTTTTACCAATACCATGAATAAAACTATACTTCACCCTGAAAAATGTGGTGCAAAGTGAGTAGAACACTTCATGTGTAATTAGTTATCCAGTGGAGATAGCAGTGGCACTTTGATAGTAAAGGAGCTGGCAGTATTGGGCAATACTGAAATATGTGATTGCATTTTTGTTTAAATAGCTTATGTATCTCTTAACAGTATCTTTTTATTGTTTTTTCAGGTTTTTGCAGAAATATATTCAGAAAGAGTCTGAGAGTGTCAGACTAACAAAACCAAATACCTCTGCATCAACCCAAGCAACACGAGAGAAAAAGATGAAACAGCTCAGTAGTTTGCTTAAGTATTTCATCATGTGTGCCAATAAAAGTGAGTATCTTGTAAAAAATACTTAAGGCTTTAAAGAGTTGTTGAGGCAATATCTGTCTAATGATAAATAATGGAGATTGTGTCAGTTGTAATGATTTATACTTGTTTATATTTTACTTGTTTACTTTTTTACTTTGGGACGCAGTGACTCAGAGGCTAAGACGCTGAGCTTGTTGATCAGAAAGGTCGGCAGTTCGAATCCCTAGTGCTGCATAACGGAGTGAGCTCCCGTTACTTGTCCCAGCTTCTGCCAACCTAGCAGTTCGAAAGCATGTAAAAATGCAAGTAGAAAAATAGGGACCACTTTGGTGGGAAGGTAACAGTGTTCCGTGCGCCTTTGGCGTTTAGTCATGCTGGCCACATGACTTCTTTGGACAGCGCTGGCTCTTCGGCTTTGTAATGGAGATGAGCACCGCCCCCTAGAGCTGGAAACGACTAACACGTATATGTGAAGGGAACCTTTACCTATATTTTACTTTCGACTGTTAATTGCCTTGAGTATCATGTTGGTAATAAGATGATATAATGAAAATCCTGCACATAAAAAGCTGGTGTAATAAATGAAAAAAAGGATGCTTGGCTTTTTGGCAGTTGGGAGCTGCTCCACTTTTTTATCCTTGGTAAAATATAGTTTTGCAGGAAGATTGGTGGCAATAATTGGCAGGAATGTAATTTGTAATTGTTATTAAAATAAAATTTAAATTGATTTTTCATACTGTATTCTCAGTTTGAAGAATTGAAATGTCCAGATAGCCATTTATTTGTTTTTAAGATAAAATATTAAATGTTTAAAAATCTTAATACAATTAAATTATGAAACCAAGAATTATACTGTTCCTTTGCAAAAGAATACACAGGTTGCAAAAATTATTGTTTTTATTTTGTTTGGGGAATATGAATAGATGTTGGACATCATTTCATATTTCCATTCCATGAAATATATACCTAAATTATACACCTATAATTTATAATTAAATATCATTATACATCTAAAGAACATTATTTTAAGCTTTTCAGATAGTGAATCTTTTCAGATTTAACTTGCAAATATACTTTTTCTGTTTTGCTAAAAGCTAATCTATATCTTTTGTTTCTACACAGGAGCCCCCAGAATAAAATGTCAAGAGCTTCTGAATTATGTAATAGACACAATAAATGAGTCATCAAGATATACTATTTATGGGGCTGATTGTAATAGCATATTACTTAAGGACATTCTTAAAGTGAGGAAATATTGGTGTGAAATATCTCCACAACAATGGTCAGGTTTGTAGATGTGACTCTTGTTTAATGTTGATTACACTTGTGTAAATGCTTAGGAGCAAGTGCCTATGAACTTATATAACTTCTGTGGTAGCCCAGAAAAAAAATATAGTTCTGTGTCATACCAAAGAAAATAGGACTGCCTCAATTAAAACGAGTCAGGATTACTGTCAAGATCTTGAATAGCATTCAGTGGGAGATAACGCCTGGAGCCTTCTCAGGAAATAAGCAGTTGTCTCGAAGGTTATCAGATGGTTATCAGTTGTCTCGAAGGTTTTCGGTGCTTGGACTTCCAATAATGCCTTTTCTGCAATTTTTGCAAATTTCGTGTTTATTGGTGTACTTTAATGATCATAGAAGGGTAGGAGAAGCTGGGGTCCTCAAAGTCCAAGGCTGAAGAAAAGAATCCAGGCACTGGGCCAATCTCTTATCCAAATTGAGGCAGTGTGACTTTGACTTCCATAAAGTGCTATTGAATTATCACTAACATGGATGACAAAGTTTGAATATTATATTATAGCTTACTGTTTGGGGGGAGATGAATTTTCTGCCAATTAAAAAAAGAATACCTATCATCTGTTAATTGTCTATGTCACTGAATGGCATTCTTTTCCAGCTCATATTTTTATATTTCCTGAGAGTTCTGCTTAATTTGATTTATTAAATTAATAAATATTGCTTGGATGT